TGCCCACAGGCTGCACTAAGGGCTCCCTAAAATCTTACAGGGCCGCAGGAAACCCCCCTGGGGTTGCCCGGTGTGAGAGGACAACCGCCCGGTGACGGCAGTGGAGCCGCCCAGCAGCTCCCCGCCGGGCATTGCCAGGGTGGCACCTGCTCCCATGGGGATGAGGTGTCTCCCATGGACGCCTCCACCCCAGGACGGGCTCTGGGATGTGTGGTGGCTGTGCCCTAGCCCGCCTGGCTACCCTGGGGGGAGCCCAGCTGCCCACTGCCGCTCACGTTGGTCGCCCACTTGTCGAGGACGTCGGTGTAGACGTCGTAGAGCGCATCGATCTCCTCCGCCGCGCTGCTGGGCTCGGCGTGCAGGGGCACCAGCACAAACTGCTCCACCTCTGCTGGACAGGCGGCCATCAGCCCCCGGCCTGGGTGCAGCACCCCAGAAGGGAGGGGGAAACCCGGGGCACCCCCCCCCCCGGCCCAGCCAGCCGGGCAAAGCTGCCCAAGGGAAAGGGTGTGCTGGCTTTTTGTGGTCTGCCTCTCCTCCAGCAGGGCATTGTATCCCTCCACACGTGGTTTGCTGCTTGCTTGCCATCAGTTTTTCCAAGCCACCATAGTTTGGGGAAGGAGAAAAGTGTGAGAGAGAGATGGGAGAGTGTGTGTGCCCTAGGGAGGTTCCTGGGAGGTGGAGGTGATGGCACAGGGTAGGAGATGGCACACGATGGAAGATGGTACATGAGGGGAGATGGCATGTGATGGGAGATGGCACCCAAGTGGAAGAAGCAGATGGTGGGACATGGCACAAGATAGGAGGTAGCAGGTGATGGGATGTGGGACATGGTGGGATACAGCTGGAGAGAATGCATGGAGGGAGATGGCAGGCAATGGGAGGTGACTGGAGATGGTGGGCATGGTGGAACCAGCAGGCAGTGCTGGCTGTGCTGGCCAGCTACCCAGGACCCCTGAGCACCCATGGGTGGGAGAAGGCACCACAGCAGTGAAGCACCCTGGTGGAGTCCCTGAGCTGGGCTCCAGGTTGCAACCCAAGTGCCTCCATCTCTGGGCTCAGCCCTGGGCAGAGGGGACCCTGTGCCAGGTGCAGGCAGCCCCAAGGCCAGCTCTGCTCACGCGTGGTGGGTGAGGAGAACTTCACAATGAAGGGCTCCCTGCTGAAGGTGTCGTTCCCACAGGCCTCACAGCCGTCGTCGTAGTAGTAGCTTCCCAGCACAGAGACCATGTCTGACCTGAGGGAGGGGAGCAGGGCAGCCCTCAGCACCACCCCTGCCACAGCCAGCTCCCCCGGGGGTACCCACCACCCCTCAGGGGCTGCCGGGGGGCACAGCGGGTGACACGGGGGACCTTGGGCCCTGGTGGCACCCCCGACCTGTAGATGAAGAGGTACTGCTCCTTATAGCTGGTCCGACCCAGGGGGATGCTCACCAAATACCTGTACGGGTGCGGGGACGCGCTGGGAGAGAGATGCAGAGAGGGTGAGAGGAGGCTCCTGGTGCCCCAGCACCCGTCGGTCTCTCCCCGGCAGAGCCAGAGGTGCCTCAGCATGGCGAGATGGCAGCTGGGATCTGCCCCAGCACTTGCAGGCCCCCCCTGCCCTGCAGCCTCACCTGTTGAGCTGGTTCACAAGCTTCTGCACGGCGCTCAGGTCGGCATCCCGGACCTCCTGCACCAGGGTGATGTCATATCCCGACAGGAGCTGGGGGGACAAGCTCAGAGCTGCTCACCCCTGCCCGGGAGCTGCCCTCGGGGGCACCCATGGGTGCCTGGGCTGGGCTGTGAAGGCTGCCAGGATGGCAACGGGAGGGAAGCAAGGACCTGAGAGCCCAAGGAGGAAGCTTCTCTGCTGATGCCAGTGTCCTCTGGCTTGAAAGGACCCTGGGGTGACACAGTGCCCTCTAACCCCCATCTGCCTACCACCCACCAGGCCAGCAGCTCCTCACCCACAGGCTGCTCTGAGCGGGGAACTGGGCAGCAAGGGATGGATGGATGGATGGATGGATGGATGGATGGATGGATGGATGGATGGATGAAGATAGGGTTGACTGCCCCAAGCTGGTTGCCCCCCAGAACAGGCACTCTCCCCCAGCACTCACAGAGACGATGATGTTTGCGATGGTCTGGTTGGACATCTTGCTGTCCCCAAACGCCTTGATGTTGAAGGCACTGATCTTCAGCGTGGTGGCCACGTGCAGCAGGAGAGCTGCAACCAGCAGTGACAGAACGAGCCTCGAGGACACCATCCTGCCTGCAGAGGGGCAGGGATGGGCTCAGCCCCCCCGGCTGGGAGGGGAATTTGGCAGAAATGATGAGGG